ACCCGACGCAATATTTTGGGCACGCCACCGATCGCATTTTTTATTACACTATGAATTGTTATTACACAAATGTTATTACACTATGAAGCATAAGTACCAATTAAATTAAAATTCATTAAAAAAAAACGCAAAATAATAAACAATTATTAATAAAAAAATTAACAATTAATACTAAAAATACAATTAATAACCATAAAAAACAAGCTTACAATAAATAACTAGCAAAAAAACTTAACAGTCCTGCTTAAACTAACATCTTACAACCAAATACAAGTTATTTGTCATCTAATCTGCATCTACAGAAGTCACACTGATGTTACTTTAAGTTGAATTACGCGCATAACTGAGACATTGTAAAATGTTTTTTTTTNATTTCACAATTTTGATCTTCTTGAAATGTCACTCTCACTAACTGGTATGGAGTAACTACCACTACTATTGTTAAACATCAATTCATTAGCATATAAGACATGCTAAGTCTTGAGATACTCTTTGGTAGATGGTGTAGTGCGTCTACCACTACACAAATACAATTCCCTAGTATATAAGACATGTTAACTCGATTCTATACTGGGGTACCTTTTCATGGGTGAAGGTTGACATGGTCGGAAACTACTAGCCCCACATGGGTGACCCGGACGTGATCTGAACACGCCTACCTTGACAGAAACGCCCACTTCGATGGATGGTCCACATTGAACAGCTGACTTGCTACTTTTGATTGCGACATTCTCCACTTCCTCGCTCTGTTGCTTCTCAGTCTCGATCACATACAACGTACAATGTATACACTCGACTGCTAAAGGTAACACAGGAGCGACCACACGGTGAACTCAGTACAGCTCTCACGATCAGCACTCAAAAAGTACGGTGATCTTAATACAGCTCTCCCAGCTTCTCACAAAGCATCAATGAATCAACTAGTGGTATCACGGGTGTTCTGTTCAAATTCTGTTGGGGGTGATACTGTAGGGCAGAGGTCGCCAAAGTGGTCTATATAGACCCCCAGGGGTCTATTTAACATAAGCGGGGGTCGATCTGAGCCNCATAATACACATTGTTATTGCACCTGCAGAGACGACAGGGAGATCATATTGAACTCTCTTTAAGCAATTTTGGACTGCCTTGCTGTTTGACCCATGTCACAATATTGTGTGACGAAATTTTCTTATTATAACACTTTTAAAAAGCTTCAGTTATAAGACTTTATTAAAAATGTTAAAACACAATTTATACATCATACAATTATAGGAGATAGTTTTCTAAATCTCCCTTCAAAAAAACACACTACTTGGTTACATTTTAAAACACATGGCCCTATCTCAGTCACCCGTTGCCACCCTCAGCAACAAGTGAAGGAAAAATATCACTATGGTGATTTTGGTTGGTTGGCGCGGGGCCGGAGGCCATAGCGACCAACCCGTTTGTGATATTATTTGTTTTAATTTAAAGTTTTATTTGTTTTAATTTAATTTTTGCTTGTTTTCCTTTTCCAAATTTTTATCTTTATTCGATTTTTTAATTTTCACCCCAAGCTCTTTAAAGAGACACGTAAATGCTTCTTCCTTTTTTTTCTCGATAGCAACAATTTTGTTGCATCTTTGTCACCTTTTTGCGAATTCAAGGTCGATTGACCCCACTGTCCTTGTCCAAGGCCATTTTTCCCCTCTGTCTCAAGCCTTTTTGCCCCTTTTCAAACTATTTCCGATATCTTTAATTTAACCTTAGTCTTGCACGTGGTGTGAAAAACCGCTTCTAACGGGACTTTAAGATTCCCGGAATTGGGATAGTCACGCCTCAGATGTAAACTTCTTCCTCTTTAATATTCTAGGAAGTTTTGTTAATGTAATTTGTGTTTAAATTTACGCGTTATTTTACCATTTATAAGAATTTGCTGCAATTTATAAATTCTAAAGGTCGTGAGCCTAGAACAAATTTAACAAAATTAATATCACAGAATAAATAAAGTGTAATGTTTGCCATCCTTGGGGTGTTATCCCTTATTTGGCTATATTTGTGTAAAATAGTGCAGTTTGTTATTTTTTGGGTTTGCATCATGGCAAGCTTGCGGAGTCTTCCAAATTCATTTGTTGTTTGTTTCGTTGAAAGTTAAATCGAAGGAACGCCTTATACTGAAAACACTACAAGTCTAATAATATTGGATGGCGCGTTTTTTGAGCTTTAAAATCTGTCGGAAGTAGTAACCCGGAAGTCTTACGGAGAATTTTGACCCCCCAGCGCCATTTGCGCTTAACTTTACACTATCAACCATCCATATTGACATCCAAGACAGTTTTTCATCAAGATGCTGACTTTAAGACAGCATCAACTTAATTCTTTGACACCGAAAAATCGTGGAACATAAAGCTTGAGTTTTAGAACGCTTCTAAGAAATTTTCATGAAGTTCAATTCCTTAAATATGTAACTTAAGATGCTCCGAACAATTTCTTGATTGAGATTCAATGAAGTTATCATCATATCATGAAAGTCTTCACTTCAAGATTGTTCTTTGATGCCTTGATTTATTCTATTTTATCAGCATGGACACAGTGGATGCAGTCATCATCACCCAGATAGCAAAAGAAGGTTTTATTTTCACTCGACAAAAACTTTTTGATGTAAACCTTAAAAGGTTTGCAGCACGGTTTACGTCTAAACCTTCGAACCTTAAAACGAGATCTGAGACAATCTGCTCTATTCTACGCACATTACCCTAATCCAAAACCTTGGAAAACAACCTTCCACATAACAACCTTAAAACGAGGTTGACTTAGGGTTTGCAAGCATGAAAAAAATCCTTTCATAAAGCAAGTCGCAAGGTGAAAATAATCTTAAATCTAGGTAATTATAAGGTTTCTTTTCGCAAAGTCTTGTTTTCTCCGCTAAAATCCACCTTGCCATGAAATTTTAATGGATCTCAACATGAAATCAAACAATGGCTGAAAAATTCATATATGATTTTTACTGACGACATTGTTTTTTTGTGGTTTTTCTTTTGTAACTTAAATGCTGATTGGTTTCTCTCATAACCTAAAGTGAGTTTGTCCCAAAGATAGATCCTTATTTCATTTTATTTATTTATTTATTTTTCTTTTGGGTAGGATCAAGAATACTAGACTAAGGAGTTAAACAGTAGTTGCCTGTAATCTGACTTTTACGCATATTTCAAAAAAATAAAAAAATAAATGTCTGATTAACTTTTCGAAGCAATACAGCGCGACTTAAAAACTGGAAACAACAGCTACTTCGTTTCTAAAAATTTTATTAGGTGCCTAATTTCATTAGTGTATTTATAATTTTATTTGAAAAAAAAAAGCACCAGAAAGTGAATTTCCACACTAATTATGTTGTCAAAATATTTTTACAAAATTTAGTGTAAAACAATAGTAAATTTTCTTTCTCCTATCCCTAAATTAGATGAGTTGTTCAAAAGCCCTCGAAAACCCCAAGACGCATTTTTAGCATTATATTGCATTGCATTGCTTGGCATTGGTCAAAATCTGCGAATCAACATAAAAGATTACTCACCAATTTCCTGCAAGATGTTTCCTTAATTCTTGGGTCGAATTTTTTAGGACAATCCTTGTTTGCAAATAGAAATATTTTCGAAATTAGACGGGGTTAATATTGGTATCATAGATCCCTTTTTAACCAATGATAGGTCAAATTTTATAACTACTTTAACTTTAAAAAGAATTTATTACAATTTTCTTTTATCTCCCTTTCAATTACATTTTTCTGTATTCCTTTCAAAATATTTAGCAATTTTCCACAGTTGCCTAAATTTTTATAATAATTTAAAGGTGATGTAAATTTTCAGCTTGAAAAACAATTAGAATTTTAAAAAATTTTGGGGTTTGTGTGTGTAAAAGATTTTGAAATGTTTTTCATCTGTTAACATTGTCAAAGATAAAACAGTTTTATTATTTCAAATATTAATAAAATTTTTCAATGTTCTTACGAGTGAAATGAATTAGCTTAAAATGTTATATAAATCATCCCAAGAAACTGAAGCGGTAAAATACTATCTGATTAAAAACTTCCTTTTAGCTTCAAAAATATATAAATACAAAACAACAATCGAAATGTTTCAAGTCTAAGTGCTAAAGATGAGTGCCTATTTTTGAGCTCTTGTAATATGTCGACTGTTATGCCCTATTTACTATATATTTTTGAAGCGAATAAAGTTTTTAATCAGGAGCCTAATAATGTGTTTTTGTTTTTCTGTTGTAATCTCCCTCCTTTTCAAAGAATCATAATTTTTTTCTTTTTTCCTGTTTTTTTTTTGTTTTTCTATAATAATATATTTTCAACAACCAAGTAATGTTATTAAATTTCATTAATTTAATGTTTATTAATCAACAATGTCAGATTGGCGATCGAAATGGGCTGCAGGTGGCGTAGAGCAGAACTCTTTTCCTATGGCAACACTTCACATGCTTTCCCCATTAGCGTGTGGAAAGTCATAGAGGAAGGAAGTACATTAGTTTCTCTCTTGATTTTCATATAGATTAAAATCTTTCAACTTGAAACATTATATGAAACTGAAAACTGCGTTAAACATAGTTCTAAAGAAAAGTATCATGGAAATTTTAAAAAATATTTTGATTAAATAAAAAGGAAAAATATTAAGAAAAGGGAAAATATCGTAGTACATTCCTATGCAACTGAAAAGAGGAGGAGAGGGAAGGGAGAAGGGCTAAAGGCATGAAACCGGTCTCTCCCCAGATGGCGTATTCGAGTGTTGCGATCGCGAATAGTCGAATACAGTGAAAATGGTCATAAACACATCCGCATTTCCTTCACGCGCTTGTAAGAGTTTCATGAGTTGCATTCACGCGCGCACTAGTGAAAACAACTCCTAAGAACACGAAATGACAGATTACGATTGGTAAGCATAAGCAGGAATTTTTTTAATAATAATGAATATGACTCAGCTTGCAGAGAAAAGTATTAAAATACTTTAAGTGTTTGTTGTTTACATTTTTGTTTTGCGGCAGCTTGGAAGTTAAATTTGCTGTACAAGTAACCTTTCTATTTAATATTAAAACTCATTTAGTTATATTTGTTCTGTATTGTTAATTTTCTCATAGCATTTTTTTATTTGTCTATACTGGAGTTAAATTTTATTCATTTTTAATTCTTGAACAAAATAAATATTGCATCAAGTTATTTCTGATATGATTAGAACATATTATCTTACTCTCATCTCTTAAGTTGTAAGAATTCGTAAAGGAATCGGTGTCGAGAAAAGATCCAAAAGAGAAATCTGTGGTAGCACTCTGTTTCTCCTTATGTATGTCCATTTTTGACAAAATACAAATAATTTTTAATTCTGATCATCATTTTAAAGCACTTTGTTTAGAGTGATTTTTAAAATAATCCGAAACAAAAGTGACATTTGGTCTTTTGACAAATTTATTACAATAGCTTAAAGGAAAGATTTGATTAGATAATCTCTAAAACTTAAATAAAAATTATTGGATAGTTTTTGATGTGAATCATAGGGAGTTAATGTATGAAACCTTTACTGCAAATATTATCACTGTCAAAGTTTGATAACCCTTCAAATTGATGGACATTTTGATAACTGTAGGATTATTTTAGATTAAAAAACAGCAGCTTTAAGCATTTTTTTTTTTTTCTTTAGAACCACTTTTTAGCTTATACGTATACTTTTGATTATTTACAAAATTAAATGATGTAAGCATGTAAATTCTGCAACTTATTTGCAAACTAGTTTTAAAAGTGTTAAACTGTAAAAGATTATTATAGTAAATCCTTGGACATAAATTTAAACTTTTCAATTTATAAATAATTCTTTTGCCTCCTAATTTTCCAGAATTCATAACCAACATGTTTCAATAATTTATTACATTAAATAAAAAGTTGTTCTAATATCTTTTGCGTATTGTAACTATAAAGATAAAATGAGGCACTTAGAAGTGTTTTTTTTTTAAATTTAATAAATATTGACCGTTGAGAAAATTCGGTTTTCTTCATCAATTTTTAGTAATATCTGTTCTATATATCTTTTTATTCAGTGAAATTATTAAAATGTTTCTGTGTATAAGTCAATGGTAATAAATAAACTTATTTTAATGTTTTCAGTGTTGCAAAGCTATAGTCTTGAAGATATGAACTATATTTCAGAATAGAGCTGATCGAAAGAGTCAAAAAATTCCCCTTCAAATAGTCTGTTGTTGGGAAATGGTATGATAAGATTTGTTTAAATAAATGTTGATATTTTACTTTATAACAGTAGAAATAGTATGCCGTGAATAAAATCTATAATTTGTATAATGCAATGAAAATTCCTGTTTCTGAAACTGTTAAAACTTACATAAATTCAAAGAGAAAGAATTTTTTCTGAATAAGGAAATGTAATGATAAAAAATTATAAAAACAACATCTCTTATTTTTCATTCGTTTCGGCTTTCTTTTTTATGAATCAAGGTTTTTTTTTTTCATTTGATGTGAGGAACTTTAATTTAACTTTCCTCATTAAAGCAATTTAAATATTCAACTGCACTAAATCTTAAGATGTGGGTTGAAAAAAAAAGTAGAAGAAAATTCTCTTACTTAATTTTTCAACAGATCATGCACATATACAAAAATAATTTGGGGGAGAAAACAAAAGTGAAAGAGATTACTTAATTTTGATTATTAAACATTATCTTTAAAATTGGATTGACTTTTCAAGAAACAGATATCTATGTATGGTGCATTATTCTTCATTTCTATTTGTACAATATTTTCTATTTTAGGAATTATTTTATTCCACAGAAGTTTAAAAAATTATCAGGTAATGTTTCTCTTTAGTGATCCCTTTATTTTCAGTCTTTTTTAAAGGTATTGCGCTGTTGAATATTAAAAGTTTGTTGTGTTCAAAAAAATATCGGAAAGCGCAAATCAAAAAATTAACCTGAAATCCAAAATAGTGAGGGAAGAGGCCACTTAAGAAACCCCTTTCGCTCTAAAATTACGTGTGGATAAGCTTTGAAGAGTTACAATGTGAGGCCCCTTGCCTATTTTATTATAAATTGCACAACTAGTTCAGCTGCAGAACTAAAGTACGGCAAACAGATCAATTAAAAATTGTGGATTGTCTTACCAATAACTGACAGAAAATGTTGCTTAGCTAAACATTGAATTGATTTAATCTCTTATTTTTTGTAACCCTGACCGAATGGTTGGATTGGTTGGTCACATCAAACAATTGCTGACAAAATATTCATAATACAAATCACAAGCAAAACTTACATGCTAACCTAGGCACCTTTCAGTGTAAAATAAAATAAAAAATAAGAAGTGCGCCTTAGCTGTGTTTGACAACATTTATTTTTGTTCATGCCTCTGCTTAAATAAGCAAGGAACCTTTTTTATATGCAAGTAAGCTCAATAATTAGAAAGAATAAATAGTGTAATTTAATTCAATGCCTCATTAACTTCAACGTAATCTTTTTTTTTCCCTTCATATTTTGTAATTTGTTATAAATAATTTAGTAATATATATTTTTTTTTCAGATTATTAACCAATTTGTTTGATCACTGGATTTAAATAGTTTTATATTAGACTATTGCAACAAAATATGATCACTATATTGCGTATTACTCAAATATGATCTCTCCAGATTTCTTGAATATATCTTAAATAATATAATATTTCCCAAAATATATTTTTTTTTGTAGTTTTTATTACTTTAAATCATTATAACAAGAAGAATATGTAAGCATCTTTCTTACTGTTTTTAGTAGAAATATTTTTAGTTGAGAAAAGTGTCTTTTCTAGTTGTGTAATTTTTTAAATTTCATTCATTTTTTTTTTCTGAATACAGTGTAAAGTCGCGTATCCGGAATCGGTGGGACTTCCAGAAGTCCGTATAATAGATTTTTCCGTATAATACACCCCCAAGGTAAACAAAGCTTAAAATGATTTAATAAACGATCTAAATCTAAGAAGCAAAAAATAAATAAACACTATTTTTAAGGGGAATAATGTTTTAGCATTAAAATATCTAATCAATCAAATATAAAATATTAGAAAAAAAATATTATTGCTGAAAATATGGAAAACGAAAAAAATTTAACAGTTATGAAAATATTAATCCGCCATTTTGAACTAGAACGATTCAAGCAGGAAGGGGAAATTCATGTCATTCTGGAACAAAGCTTAAAATGATCTAAATCTAAGAAGCAAANAAAATATTTTTAAGCATTTGAAAAAATATAACCAGATAGGGTTGGCAAGTATTTGATAGTTAATGATTTTTAGCAAGGTGACAAATTTTTTAAAAATAAAAAATTTTGTAAAAATTTTTTTAGACCACAACTTTTTCTTTAGCTGTATTGTGCATGATTTAATGTCTAATAAAATGTCCTCAATGCTAATAAAGAAACTTGTCCCAAGTTTTTAACAGACTGACAATGGTTCTTCGACAGGTTTTTGATGGGTCGAGTCAAAAACCAGTTTTTTTTATATCAAAATCCCTATTCTGTCATTAGGATTCCTGTATCCCAATCCTTCCTGTAATTAGGATCCCTGTATTGTCCTGTAAAAAATTTCTTCCTATTGCTGAAAGTTTTTTATAAATACATTAAGAAAATGCAAATACATTAACGAAATTCTAAGACTTTACATGATCATGATAAAATAACTAGTTTCTGACAAAGAACTCTTTTCTTGATTATATTAGCCTCCATAAAAACAATTTATGCACAATTTTAAAGATATTCATTATTATAAGAGGCTCTTTCTATTTTTAAATTAACAATAACTTTATTTAATTATGTAAAAAAAATTTAATTCAAAATTTTAATTAATTATTATTTAAAAAGGTTATCAAATGTATTTTTAACAAGACTAAAAACAAGAAAAAAAATATGTAAACAAATTTAAAATTGAAATAAAATTTTTTAAAAAATTCTAAGTTTTAAATTGAATACCCAAGTGCTGTTGATCAAAATTATAGCTTCCTCTGTTTGCCCGGGTTAACAACAGTTAAGCTTCTATAACCTTAATTCTAAAACTCAATTTTTTCTGTGTCCAAATTCTGAATTCTTATAAATTGTAATTGTTAAATTCTTGTGAATTCTTTTAGAATAATTTAAAATTTTCCTCCCAAAATATGTTGGTTTTAATTATGAATATTTTTCTTTTACTCAAAATTTAATCAATTTACTTATTTATTTTTTCATTTCTATTTTTTTTAATGGGGACAAATTGATTCCAGAATATCAGATCTCATTAATTAGTCTTTATTTAATCTGTATATAATATTAACCTATACAAATTTTAGTTAAATATACCTATTTTTTTATTTATGTGAGAAAAAGTAGCAAAAGTCCAAGATTTTTACTTCTATCTTTAAAGTGGGCAGCATTTCATGTCATATTTTTAACAAATGAAACAGTAATTTGAAAAGAAATAAATAAAATGTAGGAAATAATCTTCAATTCTTGATTTTTTATAGATTATTCTGAAAAATAATAATGTTAAAAAAACCTAACTTACATTCAAATTTTATTTTTGATTAAAAAATTAAATTTTTCTTTTGTTAAAGGATTTAAAGTATTTGTAATTCTGTAGTCTTTATTCTCATTTTCAAAGTGTATAATTTTCTCTGATAACTTTAAAAAATCAACAATAATATGCTAGAAAAATGCTGTATTATATAATGCTGTATTAAATGTTGTAATTGTTTTAAAATTTAGAATGTTTTATATTATTTGAAATAGGGACCGACAATTAGTGAAAAGTAACCCAGATAGGGACCCACATAATTTTTCGAACGTGTGTATACAGATCACAATGCGTAACTTTTACATCACGGATAAATATGAGAATCGATTATTAATATTAAACAGAGTGCATATCCAAATTATTCGACAAAAAATAAGCACTTTTCAAGCACTCTAAAAATATTTTTAAGCATTTGAAAAAATATAACCAGATAGGGTTGGCAAGTATTTGACAGTTAATGATTTTTAGCAAGGTGACAAATTTTTTAAAAATAAAAAATTTTGTAAAAATTTTTTTAGACCACAACTTTTTCTTTAGCTGTATTGTGCATGATTTAATGTCTAATAAAATGTCCTCAATGCTAATAAAGAAACTTGTCCCAAGTTTTTAACAGACTGACAATGGTTCTTCGACAGGTTTTTGATGGGTCGAGTCAAAAACCAGTTTTTTTTATATCAAAATCCCTATTCTGTCATTAGGATTCCTGTATCCCAATCCTTCCTGTAATTAGGATCCCTGTATTATCCTGTAAAAAATTTCTTCCTATTGCTGAAAGTTTTTTATAAATACATTAAGAAAATGCAAATGCATTAACAAAATTCTAAGACTTTACATGATCATGATAAAATAACTAGTTTCTGACAAAGAACTCTTTTCTTGATTATATTAGCCGCCATAAAAACAATTTATGCACAATTTTGAAGATATTCATTATTATAAGAGACTCTTTCTATTTTTAAATTAACAATATCTTTATTTAATTATGTAAAAAAATTTAATTCAAAATTATAATTAACTATTATTCAAAAAGGTTATCAAGTGTATTTTTTAGATTTAAATAAAAGCTATTTATAAAACATATGTTAAGCAAAACGTTAACGAGATAAATATTATTGATCATACCGAATTTATATGTAAAGAATTAAGCAAACTAAAAAAACTCTAATAAACTCATATTACAAATGTAAATTAGTGAATAAACCCTAAAAATGTTTACTATCATTTGTTACTCGGTTGAATATTTAAATTTCTTTAATGAAATGTTAAAAAAAAAAATTATAATTTTGAAATGTGCATTGAAACTAAACATTTGTAGGACAACTACATTCTTAATATTTAACCAATCTGAGATTAATGAATTTATTATTTTAGTTTTTTGGAACAGCAAATCGGAATTATTTTACCTAACTAAACATAAGATTTTTTGCTGCATTTAAAGTATTAAAAGCCCCTTACTTCATAATTTTTGAAAATAGTGGCTCTTAATACTATTGGGTTCTCATAAAACAACTCAAGAATACTGAAAATTTTAAAAGGAATAATGTAATAATTAATGAAAAGTAATAAGCAAAAAAAAGTAATGTAAAGTACAATAAAAGTTTACAAAAATTTTGTGCAATTGGTGAATGGCCCCTCAAGTAAAAATATTTTGCTTAAAATTCTTCAATCATTCTTAAATTTGTGAATAAAATTGAGTTTTTGAGGTGATGAAGCTTTGGGATTCTTGACGGTTCTGGGGACCCACTTGAAAATACATAATTAGTGAATGATCCCCAAGTCATGTTCAAAGATTATGGTACTGATTTATAAATAGAATATCTTGAGAAAGCTGTTAGCTTGCCAGTGACAAAGACGATGGTGCGTCACGAGCGATGAAATTAACAAGAAAAATAAAATTTTCTTTCGCTGTTAGAGGGAAAAAATTGACAATGTTTAGTTGGTCCTCTTAATCACCAAAAAATCAAGGGATTTTTCGGTTCAATTTCAGAGGGTGGAAAAAGTAAACTTGAAATTTAGAATCTCTTGCAAACTGCAGCAGAGCTACACATAAGAAGGCAAAAATCCTATCCACTGAANTTTTCTTTCGCTATTAGGGGGGGGGGGAATTTACAATGGTCCTCTTAATCACCAAAAAATTGAGGGATTTTTCGGTTCAATTTCAGAGGGTGGAAAAAGTAAACTTGAAATTTAGAATCTCTTGAAAAATGCAGCAGAGCTACACATAAGAAGGCAAAAATCCCATCCACTGAATCCAGCTAGTATACACACATGCGGACCCCCAAGTATTTAATCTAACATGTGAAGTTATTGGCATTTTTATATGCTATGCACCGACGGTACGCTGAAATAAATTGGAGTTGAATTCATTGTGAAACCGTTTAATAAAACAATTTCTTTTTGTATAATTCATGGCGGAAATCAGTATGGTAAAGAAAAAATCTCATTTTGGAAAGGGAAAAATTAAGCACTTTTTAAAAACACCCAATGTAAATAGCACCTTTAAGACCTATTAGAAACGAAAATCGAAATAAGCTGATATATATATATGTTTACTAAAAGCTAACTAGTTTTGTATCGTAATATGCCTTATATCTACATCCTAGATGTTTTTATTTTGTTGTAATTAATTATATCTAACTAATCTTGTAAAATTAACTTTTATTTCCATTATTATTTAGTTATCTTATATTTCATCATCATTTCCATTTCTAAACATAACTTTTAGATCAGAGCTTTTTTTTTTTTTTTAAATGCTATTATCTTGCAGTTTTAGATTTTAATATAAAGTTTTCATAAAAAGTGTTTGCTGTCATGTAAAAATTATATCATTTCTGCATTTTCATTTCCATGTTTAAACTTATTCACCTTCATTTCTAGATGCAATTTTTGTTTAAAAATGTTTAAATAAGAAATATTACGAGTAATTCATATTTTTATATTTTGTTGCATATTTACTTTCCTTAAAAAACTACTAATTGTGTTATCTGGTTTAAATTTAACTTCTTATTCTGATTAAAAACGATTATTTGTTGTCATATAAAAGAAGAAATATTTATCTGCATTTTTTATTTTCATCTTAAAAATGCACAATTTTTGTTTTTAGATGGATTTCAAAGAACTGGTTAACAAGGAAAGTTTTAAAGCAATTCTACTTCACCATCTGAAGTCCCAAGCTAAGCAAAAACTTGGTCACGTAATATCAAACAAAATCAAAGAAAGCACATCTTCGATGAATAACTCTACGTCTGAAAGCATAGTGGACGACGTTACAAAAGATATCTTAGAATCTGAAGACTTTCCCAATTTCTTATCCTCTTTCTTAAACCACGTAGATAATCTTCTTGAAGACAAAGACTCCTATGTTCCAAAAGACGAAAAACGAGACAATGTTTCTCAGTGTAGTTCAGCCTCAAGTCTGAATACATCGTCGATTGATTTTCTAAGTCCAGACCAGTTTCAAAGCACCGTATATAGCTTGAAAACTGGAACAAATGCTGAGAAACTAGAAGCTCTGGAAACTTTGCATCGTTTACCAACCTTAGAGCATCTGACCAACAAATCTTTTTGGTCTGATGCAGAAATTGGTCTTCACGACTCATTGTCAAGCAATGTAGTGTTTTTAAGAACAGCAGCCATGAGATTGTTCATGAAAATGTTAACGTCATCTGAATCCAAAATTGTCTTAGATAGCTATCTCAGCTTTATTAAGTACATGCATAGAAGCCTGCTTCCACATTTAAGCCAGCATCAGACGGGTGCAACTTTTATCGATAATTTCAGGTCCTCGGTTGAAGTGGTTGCCATTTTAAACAAGTTTCTCCAAACGATATCTGGCCACTGGCTACGTTACCCTCAATCTGTGATCGAAAACATCAGCGCTCAGAGCTTAGGCATATTCTCGGATTATAATGAGAAGAGAAATGCTTTTCCTGTTTGGACATGTTTTGCCCTCTGTGACCCTGAAGCGAAATGGTTGAAGAATATCCTCTATGGTCATTTAAGTAGAACTGCTTTTTTGATCGCTCTTGAAAATGATCCTTCAGTTTTGGAGTTTTGTGTTACATTTTGTTCCAATTTAATCTCGGAAAAATGTGTTCCCGATTTTGTTTGTTGTCAAAATTCTGTATTTATTGCTGAAATCACACATATTTTAAGTTTTCTTTCTTATCTTCTACAATACTGTGATGGGAGAAAAGTATTTGATTCTAAGTCATGTGGGGGAATTATTTCTTGTTGGTCAGAAGCATTGGAAATTATAATGAAAAGTACAAGTGTTTTGTGTGAGGTGGCATGCATCAACTGTTGCTCGCCAGTTTTTGGCGTGATCTCATCAGCCTGGTGTGCTTTTTGGAATCAAGACATTAATTTAGTGAGTCATGCAAATTTATTAAAAATACTAGTTTCAACTTTTTCTGAAATGGAACGAAATGAATCTAATCTTATGTGTTTTGCCATTCAGTGTCTTTCTGGCAGTTTTCTAGGTATTGTGGGTACTTCAGTTTCGACTAAGCTCAATCTTAATTTTGAACATTTAGTTGTTAAAATATTCACCTATTGTGCTGATTTTTCTTCGAATTCTTCACCTGAATCAGCTAGCATTGTTCGGACAGATTTCTACATTCAAAAATACCTTCTTGCTCTTGTAAAGAACTTTTTGTCTACCCCCTCTTCTTTATTTCTAAACCGAGAATTCACCAGAAACTTTTGTATTTGGTGGCAAAAGATTAATGAAAGCAATACATTAAAAATATTATCTAAAAAGCCTTTTGAAAATGAGGTGAGCTATAACGACATTGTTGAAAGTATTGAGCAAAATTTCTTAAATGTAAATATTGCACTACTTAACAAACCTTGTTGTATTGATAGCATTCAAGATTCGTCAAATTTTGAATCTACGTTGAATATTTTACTAGAGAAACTGTTAAAAGACATCAAAACTAAGAGATCTGTTTGTTCTTGTGATATAGCTACTCTGTCTACTGCTTTAAGTAGCAGTATTACAGTGGAAAGCATTTTAAACAGAACAGTAGTTTTCCGTTTGTCTTCAATTATATGGCAACTCATCGAAGTAAGTGATAATTTCCATATGGTGAAATCTATATTAGAAATGCTGATGCCATCCATATTTTGTGATGTAGTTAATTTCGATTTACTTGGAATTAAAGATTTGGAAGACAACAAAGAAACTCTGCTCTTGCACAGTGTGTTACTATCACCAAAACTTACGGAGGAATGTCTTGTTTCTGAAGAGTACGGTATCGTAGCTCTTAAAGTGCTTGCACTTTTAACAACCAGTGTACATGCTGTTTGTTGTTTAGAAGCAAAGTATTGTCTTTCTGAGTTTATGCTTGAACAACAACACCATCACATAACTGTGGAAGAAAATCCTGTAATTGATTTAGAATATATTTTAAGAAATTACATTTTGGTTAAAATGTATACTTTCGGAGGATCGAGCGAACGAATTCTACCCGAGGAAGATTTTGTCAATTGTGAGGACTACCAGTGGTGGCTCAAGGATTCTTTTCCTGTTCCTGAATTATTTTATAAACCTTTTATCAATCCAACTGAATCGAAGTTGGAGCCTGAAACTATTTCGCTTGAATCGGGAATGGAGTCAAGTGAAGAAATTCAGCTGCAGGAGACTTTTCTCAATTATTTAAAGACAAATGGTATGCCGTCTAACGAGTTTTGTTTTCAAGTTTTTAATCTCAGTTCAAATATATTGAATATTGAAATAGACAGTCTCGAAAGTCCGAATTTAGAAAGTGCTGAATATTTATTAAATGAAGAAGAACTTGTTGGACTGTCCTTAATTAAGAGGTACGGATCACTGCTGAATCGAATGACCCTTGACGAAGACGGAAAATTGGAACAATTGTTGAAAGCTGCTAAGTGCTTGACGAAATCAAATAAAATAGACACATTTGTCTGCACTGTTTATCTCATGTGCTGTGAGGATATTAATGTATCATGGTCATTCTTAAGAAACTTCTCTAAGACACCCAATTCTTTTATTATATGGCCTGCCCTGTTTTCAAACATGACGATGTGCAGCAAAGCTCATTCTGTGATATTAGAAATGTGTGATATAGCTGTTAAAAAATCATTGCCACATGTATTTTCTGCTTTTCAACTTTTTGGTGTTTTACCATCTGCTCTTTTTAGTTACTGGATAGGGCAGTGCTTTTGGAATTATTTAGATTTTAGTGAAATTTCGAATTTGATCTTGTTGAATGTGCTGTACTCGGGAATGTTTTCTATTTATTTTTTCATATCTCTTTTGAAACATCTCCAAAGCTATATTTTATTAAATTCTCACGATTGCTCTTTGATAACTAACTTAAAAAAGAATTCAATTAAACACTATAAAATGCAGCATTACATAGACTATATTATGGAACTGTCTCTTACCTTTAGTTACATGGAACCTCTACTTAAGAATGTAAATTAAAGCACTTTCATGTTTTACTTGACGCCCGGTGGCTGAGCGGTAGCGCTTCCCGCTGTCGTGCCACAGGTCTCTGGTTCGATCCTCGGGACGGGCAAGCTTGACTCAGCCTTTCATCCCTTCAGTGGGTCAATAAATGAGTGCCAAGCATGCTTGGGAACTAAACACTGGGGGTTCCGCGTTCGGCTGACCACCTGACCGGAACATCTGCTCCTGCACCCCAGAGCCCAAGGTCAGGAAAACTGAGATGGGCACAGTAGGCCTGGCCCTCTTGGGCTGTCACGCCGCTGAGTTTAGTTTAGTTCATGTTTTGCTTGATATTTTGAACTCCACTCTGTATAGATGTATGTTATTCATAAATTATTTATTTTTTGTTATTTGTTGTTTTAACGCACATTATTTAACCCACTGACAGTTTTGTACGTAAAAAGCCGTATTTTAACTCACAATCTTCTCTGCATATCCAGGGATCTGTCCAGGCTGAATTTACTACCGTTTAGCGGTACCTTCACAAATTCAACTTTAGGAAAAACGGTAGTTTCACAACATACTTTTTCTTAAAATTTTATTTTTGTATCCCTTGAGCAACGATAAAACCATATTTTTGTGTTGATTTATAAATATAATTTTTAATTTTTCACAAATTATGTCCAAATTTTCACAAAATAAGTACCTCTCAGAAAAACCTAGACAGACCCCTGATATCAGTTTTTTCATGTTATTAGATATTGAAATACTGTAATGCGGAAAGACATTCACCCATTTACAAAACCATGAATGTGTTGAATAAAACGTTATTTATCAATTGCTACATGTTCTATTCAAAAACCTAGAGTCTTTCATTTGTAAAATCAAAAGCTTTAAAGTAACTAATGTGTAGCATATGTTTCTTTTTTTTTTTTAAAGAGTCCCACAACAGCCCATTGTGGATCTAGAAAATCATGGAAGTTAATGCTCTAGAATTTTGTGGCCAATGACGCAATGGTGATAGTGTCATCATCAATGTGCACAGATTGGATTGTAATTGGGATTTTTTTTTTAATGTTTTTATTAAAAAGTGTGAATTAAACATCAAAAATCTAATTTTCTAGCTAAAAAAAAATAAAACACATCTAAACTCTATCTAATAGTCTTTTTCTTGTAGAAATGACCATGGACTAGAATTTTTTAAAAATGTCATGAAAATTCTAAAATCAATATTTAAAATGCTACAATGCTTTAAAAAATACTATTATACCATTTTATAGATTTCAATAATTTAGAAACTCTTCAGTTTGTAAAAAAAGATTTTTTTTTAAATGTAACAATTTAGGAATTCTTTTTTTTTTTTTAAAAAAAACTATTTTAAAGTTTTAAAAACAAAACAAAAAAACTATATTTTTTAAAGTTGGTACTAAATCAAAGTTCAAGCTCTGGACACAGATTTACCATAGTCAAGTCCAGTTTCATAAATAAACATTTATGAAAAACTTAACTTTTTGCTTTGTAATTGGGTCAAGTTTCACANAAACTATTTTAAAGTTATAAAAACAAAACAAAAAAGTATATTTTTTAAAGTTGGTGCTAAATCAAAGTTCAAGCCCTGGACATAAATTTACCATAGTCAAGTCCAGTTTCATAAATAAACATTTATGAAAAACTTAACTTTTTGCTTTGTAATTGGGTCAAGTTTACTAATTTCTGTCTTCTACTTTGTTCTAAGCAAACTATTATAAATAAACTTAAGTCATAAAATAGTGGCAGTTATTATTTACTTTAATATATTGGAAAATTATTTTGATATATTGGAGGAAAAACTTTTTGGATAACTGTGACTTTAGAGTTTTATTGAAAACATTGTGAAAATTTTTTTTTATTTAAGTTGCAGCATCAACAGCTTACAGGGCTGATTGTGCTCCGGAAAAAATCCGGATTTCCGGAATTTTCGCTAACAGTGATCCGGAAGTTTCCGGAGATCGAAGATCCAGACGTTTCAAAAAATCATTGATCACAGAAGTTTCCGGAAATCAAATTTTCAAAGGTGGAACTTAAAAACACTGCTTATTTTATTTGTTTATAAAGAAGAGTCAGAGAGATACTTTATAAGCTTATATTCATGATTAATATTCATTTTTTATCAGTAAATAGTTGTTATAATCATAAACTCAAGAAGGAAAGACATATTTGTAAATTTTAATTACTTCTCCAGGTCATCATAGGTATATGTAAATGGTATAAGTATGTGTAAAATTTTAAATATATTTTAAGTAAACTAAGAAATATTGAGCAAAAGGGAAAAAAACCTTGTTTAAATTTTCTTTCAATTTAAACTGCTTTTTTTTTTTTTTTAAACAAGAAATTTTCCAGAATTTTGACTTGGGCTCACAATCACCCCTGAGCTTATCATAATTTATTCATTTACACTAATTCTATTAAGGCTATTGCAATTTTTTTTTTGATTGGTACCCTAACTTCTCTTGAGGATCACTGTCAGACCACCTGCAAAGAATTATATGTACCCAATTTCAAATTAAAAATTTAGAACATTGACTGAAATTTTATAGACGTAAGCATTTTTCTTCAAAGGTATTCCAAATTTTTATTTTATCACTTAATAAAAAAATTGGGTTCATATAGTTCTTCATAAGTGGAGAAAGTAGAATCCTATGTCATTTTATAACCATAATTGAAAAGCCGACCCAATTATGGGCTTACTACTGATGTTCAGCTCAGTAGCCTTGTAATTTTGAACCAATCCAGAAAACTAGGAAACTCCTGGATCAGTACCTCCAGAGGTATTGATTTGTGAGGAGAACATGGAGGACTTTGCGACTCGACAGATTTAATGTGCAGCAGTCACCATTTACTACACGAGGAGTCTTCGGCCATCTGGATTCAAATTCCTGTTCTCACAAATGGGAGTCCAGTGTCTTACCAGCAACCAAAAGAACTCTTAATACTAAAGAGTACTTTCAGGAGAAAAGAAATAAAATTCAAGTTCTGTTACTTCTTTCAAATACAAAACACTACAAGTTACGTAACATATAACTTGCAGTTTTAGTGCCATAAATTTAGCTGAAGTTATTTAATCAGCATTTCCTGCTAAAATTTGAAAATAAATTAATTACAAGCAGATTGTTTTTGAACATTTTATATCAATAATTCACATCAAACATTTACATTGAAAAGAAAATAGTCGCATATTTATTATCACACTGTTCAGTTACAAATTTTTCAAGAGTAAGATCCATAAAACTAAAATTTTATTACTTATTACAAGATGTTTACAAAAATTACTCTGATCAACAGATTTAAAAGTTTTTTTTTCTTAATATTATTAAATAGCTTCATATTACAAAATTTCAGTGGAATATAATGTAAATCTCTGACATTTATCATACTAAAGTTTTAAGAAAATTTTCTTTATTAGTACAAGTTGTCCCAGAGCTTTGTTTTATGTGCTGGAGTGACCTAAAAAAAGTAATCTTAACCCTAAAACAATGGGTCATAACTGCCTCTGATCTTTTAATGTACTGGTCAGTAGTGTATCAGTATATTAAATAAAAATGAAAAATATTATATTAAGTCAAGAGCCTGGATTTAATAGAATATTGATGATACGTACTCAGCAAAAAAATTTATGTCTGCAAGTATTCAACCTTTTTTTTTCTTCCAATTTCTTGTTTTGGATCTCTATACTCAGATTTAAATTTTCTCTACCGTAGTTCTGAGACATAAAACGCACGTTTATTTGAATTCTGCATTTTAAAATTCTAGTCATCATCTCTGTAGACCACAGTTATCGATATGGTAAATTCAGTTTAAATTCTTTTTTTTAGAAAATACAAAAAAACTTGTTCTAAAGCATGGTAAAACACAACTGCAATGTCTTTGAAGTATTGTGTGGCTTTCTGGAGAACTCCAGATATCAGTCTCGCTTCGTGGCGGGTATTATAGTAACGAGGAAAAATGACCTCCTATAAGGGTGTGAGGTTAATAGTCGTGTCATAATCTTCAAATAAGTCAGCCTGAGTAAACCAGCCCCTTCATTCTTCCATTGCCCCTTCACTTGTTACCACAGCATCAGACTTTTAGTCTGGAGAAACTCTCAAAACCGCATAGTATGAATCTTTCTGATTATGATTCACTATTTAGATCAATAGAGACTCAATTTTAAACAGACATGACTACAACTCATGATTCAGTGTTTTTGTAAAATTCTTGCTGTAATATCAGACTACTTGAAAAATGCCGATACATTAAAAATATTGCAGGATGATTTGTAATGGCAGCTTACTTATAGAATCCACATCAAAACGTGTCTTCTACATTAGGGATTGCAAATTAATATTTAAAATAGGAAAACCACTATTGAAGAGGGTAAGTGTTAGAACATCAAATTCTAGTTGCAAACTTAAAGGAGATTCTAATAAGCACCTTTTATTGTCCTGTTAACTTGTTCTAGTAGAATAAAAAGGTTTTAATGTTCTACCTTTCTTAATTCGAATGCGATTCGATCTCGAATATGCCATCTGGGGAGTTGACTGATTCCATGCCTTGACCCTCACTCCTTTGCTCTCCCCTCTTCTGAGTTATATGTTTTTGTATTTAACAATTATATTCTTTTTAAACTATGTTCAATTTTGTTTTTATTTCCATCTAGTTTCCTAACTTAAGAGTTTTTAATCTATTTGAATATCAAGAAAGAAACTAACGTACTTCCTTCTCCTATGACTCTCCCGACGCAAATGGCAAACTGTTGCCATAGGTAGGAAGTTTTGCTCTACACCACCTGTAGCCCATTTCGATCGCCAATGAGAATTTGTCTAATTTTAGTAGTTTTATTTTAAATATTGATTTCTGACCCCTAATATTTTCCTTTTTGATGTGGATTTTAAAATTATAATTAAGGATTAGAAAACGTATATTATGTAAATAATAATTTGAATGAAAGTAACATGATGCAGTAGATAATGTTTTGTAATAACAAAATGAAAGTTGAAATTGTTGCATCGTAAAAAAAGTATCTTTCAATATTGCTTTAAATAACTTGCATTTATATAGCAAATATGTACTAAATGTTCAAAACATTTATATTAATATAATTTAAGTACTATAGCACAGCACTGCACTGTTGTCAACATGTCCACCACTTCATGTTCGAATCGTTAATATAATGCTTCAAATCATGTAGAATGATGATTTAGTCTTGAATGTGCAGTTCATGTTAAGTTTTTATTCTACATAGTCACTTCTTAAATAGCAGATTTTCGGTCTGTAAAGAAAGAAAAAAAAATTTAAAACATCACTCAGGCTAACTTTTGCAATAAATAAATATCATTAAAAACAACAACGCTTAAAAATCACAAATAGTTGTTCTTACTTACTTACCAATACCAGCAAACAAATTCAAAGCAAAGGGTGCGTTTCTTGTTTTTTAGTGGTGCCATCTATGGCCAAGAACATGACTTCAACCGTGTACACGTCACAGCCCGTTTTATAGGGAGTACCCATTCAGCACCCCAGGAGGTATTAATTTATTATGGGAACTTAGAGAACTTTGTAACCCTGACTGATTTAACGTGAACCAATCACTATTTGATTCGCGGGCATTTTACGGCCGGCGGGATTCGAACTCATGAGCACGAGCTCAACGTCCTACCAACCAGGTAATCCTTGCCTAATCACAAATAGTAAAAATTCTTTTATTAAAACAATTTGAATTGCACCTTCATCAGTAGAATAAGGATGATAAAATAATTCGGCAGAGGTTACATCACACTAAAACGATAAATATGGAGTGATTGTAAAATAACTTTGCTGACATATGATACTCTGGATAATTTATCGTTTCAGTGAAGTTAATAAAATTTTGTAAATTTGCATTATATTATATGCACTCAAAAATTATGCCATAAACGACTGCCCAGCTCTCACGGTTACAGTTACAGAGACAAAATTTGAACCAATACCTACTCTTATTTATGATTGAGTAGTGATCCGTACAGTGAAAAACTTAAAATGTAGTTGGAACAATATATTTTGTACAAAAAATGGCAACGCGAGACAGATAAAGAAAAGGATGATTTTAAAAAAACACACACATACAGAGAAATTAACAGACAAGAGAAGATTTTTTTTTCTAAATTTTTGTTTTGTTCGCATTAGTTTGTTCTAATAAATGTACTGTCTCAACCAGTAGAACAGACTTAACGTAAGAACTATTCTTAGCTGACGTCACTGCACCGAACGTGTGGATGATATTTTTTACACTAGGGAGCGCTACAAACTCTTTACTGCCAATATTTCCAGGCTACTTTATCTAGCGTATTTTGAGATCATTTGGCCTCAAAGAGTTCAGTATGTCGAGCGTGTTCTAAGTTCTAAAGGATAATTTGCCGAGTAAACGTTGTCTCTGTAACTGAATACTAACATATGTACTGTGCACTGCTTGCAACAAGCATAAATTGTAATAGACAAGTCAACAGAAGTCAAATCAGGACTGTGAAGAAAAAAAGCGAATCACTTTTAAATATAGCAACCATGCTGCCTTTTTTAACAATAATAATGTTTTTCTTCCTTTCAAATTTATTTTTTTCATTATCCTGCATACTATGTTCATCCAATAAAAATTAATTCCGAGCAGTATGGTAACCTCGTACAAACTTAATACGACTGCGAAGGTAAAAGTGAGTTGAAAACTAATCACAATTGAACATAATTTAGTTAGGGAAAAAATTCCCTTTTCTTTCGGAATTGAGAGCAAAAGGCAATAAATGATGGACTTACCATTTGCACTGTTAAGAGCGACAGTAAGCTCGTGTCTTTCGACTAGTTTGTCATCATCTTTTGTGGATGGCCAATGCAATTCCACTCCTAAGTAGTACAGCCATCCCCCAACAATGGCTCCAAGGTGAGGTCCAACTAATCCTACCCACCAATAATGGCGATAACTAACAGAAGAAAAGATTTTAATTTGGATGTCTACAATAGATTAATAAACAAGTTACACAATTGGCATGTCTTGTAAGAAAAATAAAGAAATATAAGTTACGTTTTTGAAGTAGACTAAAAAGGTGAATAAAATGTTATTTAAGTGGTGATGTAGATTTTGGTGGTGATTGAAATGAATGACTAAAGTGAATTTTTTTTTCATTTCAAATCTGACAAAAATATAATTAATTTCTGTTTTTAGTCAATTTGAAAAACATAGATTTTAAAATTTTTAATGTCATTATTTTAGTTTCGTGGCTGTCAGTTTGTATACGGCAGAAAGTGATCAAAGTTTCGATTACAATAAATTCTGCTTTAGCGACCAGATAACAAAAATTGTAGTGTCGTCACGCACGGAGCTTCAGAAGAGATTTGAGTGTTCTAACTGGCCGGAAAAATGCTGAAAACTAAGATGCGAATGCCGATTTCACAATTATGAAAGCAAATTAATAAAAACGTATTAAAGATAGTTAAAATTAACAGTACGGAGGGGTTTAATTATTTTACTGGATTCGTACGTGTATAAGAGATAATGAAAGTTTGGAAAATAAATGTTGTACGAGTAGTTCAAATCATATTTTTCCAAATTCGTAACAATTGGCCGAAATGAGTAAATGAACATTTTCACATTCATAAAACCAATAACATAAACAACAACAAAAAAAATTATCTACTCTGTGCTTACATTACAATTTTTATTATTAGAACCGCGGTGGCTTAGGGGATAGAGCTTTTGCCTCCCAATGAGGTTACCCAGGTTCAAATCTCAGCGGTAGCTAATTGAAGCGAATTATGTTACCGACTAACACCGACCACAGTGCTGACGTAAAATATCCTCAGTGGTAGACGGATCATTAGTTAGAGTCCTCTTGCTGTCTGGCTAACCATGGGAGGTCTTTTGTGGTTTTTCTCTTCACGTAACGCGAATCCAGATAAGTGACATCGAAAAGTCCTCCGTGGAGGCTAGATTGTTCAAATGCTTGATCCAGAAGTCCCCTTGCCTTTTGTGTTGGGTTCACAACTAAAAGCCCACGGAGAAGAGTAATAATAGTCGTAAACTCATAATTAGGTCAGCTGTTCAACACCGGTTATAAATAAAATTTTAGCTATCTTGTCTTTGGGCTGACCGTGGAAGATTTTCGTGGTTTTCCTCTCCACTATTATCCCAATGCTTGACCCAGGAGACCCCTTGTCTTATGGATTGGGTTCAAAATGGCAAGGCTTCAGAGTTGATTGACAGAATTGAATTAGAAACATCTTTCCGCCACCTATATATACTTACGTGAAAACTTCAGCTCCGTATCCAGCAACTGCTGTGAAACATCTGGTGGCGAAGTCTCTTGCAGGATTCAGAGGTGCCATACAATTTGCCCCGAAACACATGGCAAGTGCAGATATCATGAATCCAAGCATCATGGGGTGCATCCACTTCGGCAAATTGAGATTCTTCTCATCAATGCAAGCCAATGCGGTGAACATCAGCAGTCCGGTACCTACTACCTGCAATAGGAATTATTTTGTCAGTCTTACTTTTACTTAAGTTGTGTACCGTGAGTGACCGAAATGAGTGATTGTCGACAATCACCCATTGTCGCTTTGATAAATGTCCGAAATACAGTCAATTCGCTATAACTCGAAGTACGATAACTCTAATATTACTATAACTCTATTTTTTTATGAGGTCCCGACCCTTTTATCTTCAATTTCATGTTCATTATTCTCGATTACTCGAATTTTACTCCTTTTAACTCAATTTTTTTTTTTTGATCTTTTAAAGCAAGAAAAAAAACCTAGGAGCTGATATCTTTCCCCTTCCTTTGCAACACACACACAATGTCTTCCGCACTCTTCATGGAGAAGCTAAGGCTGTCCCTCTTGAAGTATGTGAACAATGGTTAAATNATGCGGTGAACATCAGCAGTCCGGTACCTACTACCTGCAATAGGAATTATTTTGTCAGCCTTACTGGATGACTTATACTTAAACTGTGTTACTGTGAATGACAGAAATGGTTGACAATCACATTGTCGCTTTGATAAATGTCCGAAATATATACTAGGTCTACACTGCCCGGTACTCCGAACACTGATATTTCACCTTCCTCAGCAGATATTAAAATATCGAATAAATATCAACGAATAAATTAATATCAAATCGAATATAAAAAATATTTCGGACATTCGCCAAAGCGACTATGGGATTGTTGACATTCAAGTCAGCATTCTCTTGATTTCGGTCATTCTCGGTAACATACCCAGTATCTTTTAATTTAAATCTCGGATCTTAAACTAAGTACAGTTTTACTATATCCACTTTTAAATAATTACTTAATAATAATCAGCAGGTTAAAAAAAACTTGAGGCAAGGTAGAATTTGTGTAATTTGTTTTAAAAGAACTATAAAGTTTTAGATAGTTGATTATGAATGAGAAGTTCAGCGGACGCTACATAAAGAGAGAAACTCTTTCAGCTACAGAAGTCATTAAAAGTTTGGTGGAAAGTGAATTCAGGTAAAGTAAACCATTCAATTTCAAATGCGGAAGGAATATTATCAGAATATCTAAATGCAAACAAATTATGTCAGGATGGCGCAGTTGGGGAATAATCTTCTACCATAATTTATTTATTTTTCGATATTTTAAAGATTTAGCATTTGGAACACCTCATGGTTTACTCTACATGAATTCACTTTCCTGAAAACTTTACATTTTAAAATACCAAAGTAAGCTTTGCTACTGAAATAATCACTTCACGAACAACATATCCATTGATATATATTAAAAAAATAACATAATTTGAAAGGTGATTATTAAAAACACTTTCATATTTCCTCAAGCAATCAAACTTGTTTTACTATTTTCCTTCCCAACTTCCTCACTATTCAATAGCATGACTCGATTCAATAATGTTTTTATTTTTCCTCCACTTAAATATCAATTGTATACTTAACAGATCGACAAGGATAGCAAAAATATAATATTTATAGAACACTCTCTCTATAGTTTAAAAATACACGTCTAAGGTGAAATCTTCATATTTAAATTTTGACCAATTTTCCTGTATTTTAATTCTAAATATTAACTTGGTGGTTTTATTATATTAGTTTAGTTTTAGGTGTGATGCGGCAAGAACTATGCTCCTGCTCTGCTCCTAACATTATCTCACAAATGCTATCAGGCAAGGAGCCACATCTTCTTCAAATGTACCACTGGAAAATGATGAATGAATGCTTTTGGAAAAAAAATGAGCTTTAAAAACGCTTAAAAAGAGAAAAAAAATGGAAATTGTTTCTTGATGAATGTTGGTGGATATAAATCTGAACTGCTGAAAGAGTTCTTTTTAAACTCAAGTTACCGAACACCTGACATATTAATATATCAGGTGCTCGGTAACCACCGCTTTTAATATATATTTTCAGCATGTATGTCAACAAGTCATACACAAATTAATATGTAAGCAAGGAATAAAAACAAAATCCAATGAACCACTATTGAGAAAGAGACGGGATTCAAAACAACAAAATCAGTTCGATTTCCTGCTGAAACTTGGAGATGAATCTAATAATCTCTTGACAACTCCTTTACCTTCAGGCCATCAAACAAGTTTTGATGATTTCAGAGTCACCTTCCTCATTATTGATTCATTAGATATTAACTGAGTGTTTTTCTCTTTTAGAAATTTTTTTATAACACCCACTGTATATATTTTTTTCTTCGTTTCGAAAAAAAGGATTCTAAAAATATAATTTTAACACTTTGAATGTCAGTCATCGGTTAAATATAATATAAAACTAATTTACATTGTTTTGAGTAATGAAGGAAAATTTATTTAAAATGTACTTAATTTTCATTTATTACAAATCAAATTTTAATTTAATTCAATCTGTTATTTGTGAGCTTCGCATAACTATACCACAAAATGAGCACTTCTAAGGAGCGCTCGTGGTTTGACGGAGATTTCCTTAAAAATACGGTGACACACGCGTTAAGGATGCTTATTTTAAAACCCAACCAATACAGTTCTATCTTATAGGGTTGTTATGGTTATCTAGAGATAATATTACGTGATAAAAATTAGAAGATCAAGAGGTGTTCTTAAAGAGCAAAAAATGTGGAATAACTAGGGTGGCATTGTATGTTTATTGTGAAAGCGTTGAAAATTTTATTTACGAAAGTTGCGAGTCATATATGACCCAGATCGATTAGTTATAACTTGAAAGTAGGTTGCCGTACCGAGTTAGGAGGTTCTATTCTATGGATGGTGTTTTCTACACTAGGGAGCGCTGCCAGCTTTTGACAGCCTGTACTTCCGGATTACTGTTTTCAGTGCGTTTTGAAGTCATTTGGCTTCATTGTGTGTTTTGAGACTTTCTTGAGAAATATTTCTTGTATACGTGTATTTATCACTTGATTTATTATTTGTGTTTAAAGGAAAAAGCATTATTTGAAGACCTGTCATTTCAAGGTGCTAGAAACGGTATTTGAAAAATGAATCGTTTAAAACATTTCTTACCTTCTTAACACTATACCAACTTCGAAATTTAAACCTCAATGATAATTTTGTAAAATGAACTTAATCCCACCGCTCGAACAATATGCTAACACTAACGTATGATGGTGCACTGCTTGCAACAAGTACAAATAGTAACAAACAAGTTAAAAGAGGCTAAATTAAAACGGCCAAAAACGCGAGTTCTTTCTAAATCTAGCAAACAATACTTTTCTAAATAACTAAAACAAATTTTCCCTTCAAACTCACTCAGATCATTAGTATCTTATGAAATACAACAGATTTGAGATCTGAACTTATCTATTTTATATCTTTTATTGTAAACAAAATTATCTGTTTGAAAATATCGACTCGAAGAATAAGCTGTAGTAAGCAGCTGTATACTTTCTAACCGGAATTAGAGCATGTCAAGAGCTCGAGATTGTTGTTGTTTACATTGATATGGAAAACACCATCCATGGAACAATGCGAGTTTCTGGTTCTGAAATATCTAAAATCTCAAGTTAGATTACAATCCTTTCGCCATTCGTATTCTTTTCAAGAGCTTCCTAATGAGTCTAGTATTGGTAGCTTTTGTGACTCATTTTCAAAATTTCTTTATGGATGGTGTTTTCAGTAGAAATGTAAACAATAACAATCTCGAGCTGTATGCCTGCTCTAGTTCCGGTTAAAAAGTTTGCAGCTGCTTACTACATGTTATTCTGAGAGGCGATATTTTCAAACGGATAATTTTGGTTTCAATAAAAGAAATAAATTAGGCAATTTCTGACCTCAAATCTGCCATATTTCATAAGATATTAATGTTATTATGTAATTCTGGTGAGTTTGAAGTGAAAATTTGTTTTAGTTATGTAGAGATATATTGTTAAAAAAGGTGATATGGTTGCTAGATTTTGAATAACTCGCTTTTTTTGGCGGTCTTGATTTGGTCTCCTTCCATAGGTTTATTACTGTTTGTTCTTGTTGCAAGCTGTGCACCATCTTATGTTAGTGTTAACACTTTTAGCATTGTAAACACAAGTATTGTTAGCATTGCAAATACAAGTAAGAAGTAATCAAATACATTGTTCGCAAGAATCTCAAAACACAATGATTCCAAATGGCTTTAAAATACAACGGAAACAGTAACCCGGAAATTTAGGCGGCATCGAGGTTGCAGCTTTCCCTACTGTAGAAAACACCATCCATGAGACATTTACAGGATTAATGGATTATCACACTGGACATAATGTTTGTTTCATTCTTCTATCGAGTCCGATATTTTTAGTTTTGAAATCAATCATTCAGTCCACTGGCAAATAAGGAATAAAGCTAATTAGATGAACTAACTATTAGAAGAAGAAAAAGAATGAACTAACTTGATCAAGTAAGCAGGTGAGAAGAGAGACTTGAGGTTTTGGATAGGTCGCCCAGATGAGTGCAGTGGCTGTTGGGCCAGTCACAGTACGATTTGGATCAAAGTGGTCCAGCATATCTAAATTAAGAGAACTTTCCATTAATGACTGTTCTTTTTTCTTTCCTTATAGAAAATTCCCGCATATTGTACTGTATGTCTCTGGAATCTAATTTAAAGAGATTATCCACAACATGGCCTGATTTATCGTAAGGCTTGAGAGGCCTGGACCTAGGGACCCTACATAAGTAGGGTCACTAGGTTTAAATTCCCTAGGTTTAAATGTTTAAATATTTTCTTGTGTGTTTTTTTTTTTTCCTAAGAATCGTCCATTAGAATTATGAGTTAGCAAAAATTTAAATAAATTTAAGCACAAATTTACTGCTAATGTATCATAATTTAAATAAATAATTTTTTATATTAAATGCATCATTAATATTAAATGCATCATAATTTANTAAGTAATCAAATACATTGTTCGCAAGAATCTCAAAACACAATGATGCCAAATGGCTTTAAAATACAACGGAAACAGTAACCCGGAAATTTAGGCTGCACCAAGCTTGCAGCGTTCCCTAGTGTAGAAAACACCATCCATAAGACTTTTACAGGATTAATGGATTATCACACTGAACATAATGTTTGTTTCACTCTTCTATCGAGTCCGATATTTTTAATTTTGAAATCAATCATTCAGTCAACTGGCAAATAAGGAATAAAGCTAATTAGATGAACTAACTATTAGAAAAAAAAAGAATGAACTTACTTGATCAAGTAAGCAGGTGAGAAGAGAGACTTGAGGTTTTGGATAGGTCGCCCAGATGAGTGCAGTGGCTGTTGGGCCAGTCACAGTACGATTTGGATCAAAGTGATCCAGCATATCTAAATTAAGAGAACTTTCCATTAATGACTGTTCTTTTTTTTCTTTCCTTATAGAAAAGGTCTGAATATTGTACTGTATTTCTCTGGAATATAATTTAAGGAGATTATCCACAACAGGGCCAGATTTATCGTAAGGCTTGAGAGGCCTGGACCTAGGGACCCTGCATATGTGGGCACCCCCGAAATGTTTAAATATTTTCTTGTGTGTGTGTTTTTTTTTCCCTAAGAATCGTCCATTAGAATTATGAGTTAGAAAAAATTTAAATAAATTTTAGCACAAATTTGCTACTAATGTATCATAATTTAAATAAATAATTTTTATATTAAATGCATCATAATTTACACAATTAATTAATTTTTATTACTAATGTATGATTATCATGCATCATAATTAATAGAATTATGATAATTAATATTTAATGTATCATAATTACGCTTTATAGTTAATGTATCATAATTACAAACTACTATTAATTATAAATTATGTTGAAAAAAGTCTGAATGTATTTTCTAATGAACAACATGTAAGTTTAAGGACACCAACATTTCTGTGCTTTGGACCTCTGGATTTCTAAAGTCAGGTTCTCAGGTTCTGATCCACAAAAGACCACAAACTCTGTTATCTGAGATAATGGTTCTCATTCTTTTAAATTTCGCGGGCCACCAATTTTGTGAAACAATAAAAAAATATTGAGGTCTCTAACGATTAATTCTATTAACGATTGATTTATTCTACCCGAGTTTTTGAATTTGAATATATTTCAAGAAGAAAATAAAAAATAAACTTTATTTGTAAAAAAGATAATAATCGGTATACATTTTTTTAAATACAATTTATCAGCTAATTATTATTTTTCTGTCAACATCAATGAAAACACTGAGTTTATATCAACGGCATATTTGCATGAGAACTAATCCCTTTTTGAGGATGAACTAAATAATTCATCACCAACCTCAAATAGATTGAAAAATTAATTTAAAATTGGATTTTCTGGCAATGAAACACATATTCGGAAGAGTTTAAATTCTATTTAAAAAAAGGAAAAAATACACCTATATATATAAAAGGTTTTTTAATAATAATGGGGAAAAAAACATTAACTAGAAATTTGAGAAAAAATTGGTTAAATTATTTCCTAAAAACATAAATTGTTTTATTTTAATTTGACAAAAGTGCAACAAAATTCTAAGATGTTAGAATGAACGTTGTTGTTCAGTGACTTTCAATTTAGTTATTATTATTTTCTTTTTAAACTTTGTTGAAATTGTTCGTTCTTTAAATACACGGCAATTTAGCGATTAAAGACATAATTGCCCTTATGAAATATTTTTCAATATTTCCAACTGTCAATAAATGGAAATAGCAAGTTTTGTGAGTTTCTTTTCCCTGAATTTGGTTTACTCTTTATTTTATTTTGTTTTTCTTACTAAAGATGTTTTTTTAATGAAGATTTTTTTCAAAAAATCGGAATAGATAGGTTGTGAAATTAATCTCAGAAATTCCATTTATTTCTAAAGAATGACTTTTCAATAAAAGTTTACCCTCTGTTATTTCTTTTTATTTTATATGCATATATGAAAATAGGCAAATGTCGATTTTTATAGATTGAAATTTTTAAAGTAAATAACTAAGATTCATTACATAAAACTGGTTTCTATTTTCAACCAAACCACTTTTTTTTCTTTCTTAAAAAAAATTTTAATAAAAATAATAAAGAAACAATAATATGGGTATTTTATTATTGTAATGGATGCATATATAAATTGATGTTAACTAATTCTGTCACTAGATTGCAGCACCATAAAAAATGGTTCTTACTTATATTTTGGAAATCTTGATTTAATTTCTTAAAGTTTCATCGAGACCTAAATTTAATCAATTGTACGTTACGAAACTATTATATTTTTACTTAAATTTAATAAAACTTCCACAAAAAGTAAATTGGAATACTTTATAGTTTAGTTTTTTTGTTAAAATTAAAAGAAGTTTCCTTCTGCGCTGTGAAGCTGTGCTGCTGCCATCTACTAACAAATAAAGTGATATGAATTTCTATCAGCGCTGCTTCCGTAAATATATAGAAATATAATCTGGAAATATTATTAAAAAAAGGTTTAATTTGAAGCTATTTTAATCAATATTTCTTTTTCTGTTGAATTTTTTTACCGTCATTGTTGGAAATTCAAAACTTTATAAAATGTCAAATATTCTATCTACCTAATTGTAGTCACTGATATCATAATGTCGAAAATTTATTGGCATAACCTGGAGTGATGAAATATTTCACATAGTACCTACTAGCTATTACGACCTAAAGGTAGAACCATGCAATGCCAATTAACAAATTGTCGAAGCATGAAACGTGATTATTTCACTCTTACTATTATAGTTGAAATAGGATTAATTCCTACTTTTAAATAGTATTATTATTATTTTTTAGTTACTAGTGAATTTTTTTTCTGTTTTTGTTTTTTTTTTGTTTTGTGCAACAAGTAAGTTTTAGATTTTGTTTGATTTCCTTTAAGGAAAGTTATCCAAGTGTTTGCCATGCATTATTAACAATAGCACTCTTTACTGGGATAATATTTTAGGGGGAAATCGTGACGATTTGCCGGTATTCCTTACACTGACGTTTTATGGTAAAGGAACTTTTTCCAGTATATTCTTTCCCAGGATTCCCAGCACTGATGTAATAAATGGTAAAAGACCATTGTTTGATATATCCTTCTCTGGTTCTGTATTAAAAGGTAAATGGCCACTGTTCGTTATTCCCTACACTGATGCATTAAAGGATAGTATTTTTACACGAATCTATTAAAAGACAAAAGGCAATTGTCCGGCATTTCCTACATGGATATATTTCCAAATCGAATATTACAAATGATGACCCAATAAACTGCTTCAAAAAAAAATTTCACGTAAAAACTATTCATTGAATAAAAGATTGAGTAACATTACTTTGGTCGTCAGCTACGTATTTTTCAAGAAGAAAGCGAAGACTCCTCTGTTGTCCCCTCATTTATCGAATAATACTATCATACTTTGTTATTGAAAGATTGTCATTATATACTTATATTGTTGCCTGAAACAAAGTATATAACAATTCTCATATTTCATACTTCTAGTCATTGTATACAATACCGGCATTTTGTAAATTGCAAGTAACATACTCATGAAGTAATAAATAATAATAGAGCATCGATGACTCAGTGGTGTAAAGCTGTCATTGTGAAGGGCTGGAGTTCGATCCTCAGTGGTGGCTTCAAGTTCAACCAGCTTCAGATCGATGAGTACCAGCTTGTCTGGGATGCTAAAGAGCCACTGTGTGCAGTGCCAACCACATTGCCGCAATTATGCCGTTGGTCACGAAATGGTGGAGCCTTATCCTCCATGACCTTCTTCGCCCACCACGGGCTGTTGCGGGAATGCTTTGTTAGTACATAATGATAGCATTATTTGCGAGTACAAGTTTTAAACGGGATTTGGATGTTCGCAGTGGCCATGTTAAACGATATTCTGATTGTGACAAAATAAAGTAACAGCCAACCCAAAGACGAGGAAACAAGCATTTTAAAAAAGAAGAATGATTTTCCTGCACATCCAGATCCCCTCTTCCAGAAAAAGGCATAATCGGAAAAAAATCTGAAGCAGGATAAAAAAAAATTATTACGTTTTTGTAACTAATCAATACAATTAACATTTAATGATAAATAGTTAAATATAAGTATTAGATTTCTGAAAAAGGTTTATTTATTTATTTATTGTAGTTTTGGGTAACTATTTCATTAAAAAAAAACTTTTTTGTTTTCTTCAACAAAGATATAGAATTAAAATAATTATTGCCTGGTTTCTAACTACATTAAGTGAGATAAGAGGAATGAATGTGAGAGAGGAAAGACAACCTCTATTTGCGACCACTATTGGGTGGCACTGATTTTTTCTATTCACTTTGTGTTGAAGAAAACATTTAGGAGAGACCATCAAAAACTCTCCCGGGCAAACCTCCGCAGGTTAGATAAGGAAACACGATAAAATATAGAAACGAAAAATAATAACAGAGCAAATAAATAGTTTCAAATGTGTTCAAAATATTCGTGAGTGGCTCCTATTTAGAGAACTGTTTTTTAATCATCTCTAAAAAGAGATCGAAAATCTCATGTTGCACTAAAGACGATGCTATCCATGATTTAATTTTAGAGTTGAAAGTTAAATTAGAGAGAGAAAAAATTATTTTTGAAAAAAAATAAGCATCTCAAACAAGCAAACCTCTTCTTTTATAGCTAACTCATTTTGATGATATAAAATTAAACGCAAACTTTAAAAACATAATTGCTTATTTATTTAAAATATCTTTATCATTCATAATTGGTAAATTTGTTTTTGCACATAATTATCGGGATCATAATTATTGGGATCATTTTTATAGGCGGTACATTTTCATTCATCGATCCGTCTTATCATAACGCCAACAAAAGTGGAATTTCTGCACCAAGAAAAAGACAGAGACTAAAATTGAAATCGTTTGCGGAAAATCACATGGCTCCGATAACATTTTGAAGCCCATGGAGGTCACCCTTTTAGAAAGACCCTTTGACTGTGGAACAGAGAGTGGTCGCTCCCGAGATGTTTCACAGTATAATAATATAAATAAAAACTAAATTGAAAACATGCATGTTCGTAACAAAACTAATTCCAACTTTGTATTCTGATTTTTGCCAACAGATTAAATTAGGAAAAGCAGATTTCATTGTTTCACTTGCCAAAGCTTAAATAAAAAGAGTCAAAATATATTCTAGATTAAACAGTTCTGAAACGAAACATTTTTCATTCAATGTGGGCTTCTGTTTAAAAGCAGATGTTTTTTGTTAAAAATTGTAATGAATTCTTACCTTTGTATGTTGCGAAAAGTACTGCTGAAGCGGCAAAAGCTCCTAAATGCTGTGCGAGAAGGTAATGACCCACTTTCCTCCACGGAAATTTCCCTAACGTTGCAAACGCCACCGTTACTGCTGGGTTTATGTGTCCACCTGATGCACAGTACATACATAATAACATTATACATAATAACATAATAACATTAATATCTTACAAAATACGGCAGATTTGAGCTTAGAAATTATTTAATTTATTTCTTTTATTGAAAACAAAATAATCCGTTAGAAAATATCGCCTCTCAGAATAACATGTAATAAGCAGCTGCAAACTTTCTAACCGGAACTAGAGCAGGCATAGGCATACAGTTCGAGATTGTTATTGTTTACATTTCTACTGAAAACACCATCCATTAACAGTGTTGATGGCGCCAAAAAGAAAAAAAATGAACCACCCTGTATAACTTTTGATAACCCTGAATAATTTCTTCGCATCTTCACGTTCCATGACTCAATCCTATGGGTTCGAGGAGGTGTCCTCAAATATGCTAATTAATTAGTGAAGACGATATTTTAAGTTACGAAATCAGATACAAAAACGTACTTCTTCTAAATAAACATACCCTTTTTTTCCCCCGACGGATTCGAATTTTTGACCCCCAAAATATAAGGGGTGGCCGTAATCTGAGAAATAGGGTTTCCTTAGTTTGGTCAGAAGAGCGATTCAAAGTGGGTGGCCATTAATGTTAATTTTATTTTTTGCGCATGTCACTATATCTCGAGAACTTTTTAAGCGAATTCAAAAATTTTAGCACACAATTATAAAATTCGTTTATCCAAAGATAATTCCATGCTAAAAATAACTTTCAGTAAATATTTATTATTTCTTATTATTTTATTTAATAATGGTAGAAAAATGTTGAATTGTAAAGTATGCAAATTATTGTGCCATTTTAAAGAATCTAATTTTACAAAGCAAAATGCGAAATTTGTAGAAAATCGGTTGAATAGTTCATGAGCAATCGAATTTTAAAAATCTGACTTTTTTGATAATATATCGACAATTTATGAGTTGATTAGAATGAATTTGACTAGTATCATAATAATTGATATAATTAATATACTAATGGGTATAATATATGAGTATATTTGACACCTATTAACAATTTCATCTATACTTGGAAACTTTAATATACTGTAGAAAGAGGTTATTTATGACCCCTTTAAAGGAATAAGTACAGAAAAAAATCCCTTGATGTGGTAAATTTTAATTATCATTGATTTTGATTGAGCTGACGTCAAGCAACAGCATCACGTCACATGATACTGAATGCAGTTAATATTTATTTTGATGGGATGAACAACTAAAAACGTGTTTTACTTCATCTAATAACGTAAAGCAACCGGGAAGGGCAAAATATGAAAATGTAAACAAAGAAAACACTTAAATATAGCGTAAATAAATAAAATAAAAGCGTAAATATTTTAGTTTTATTAATTAAGTTGGTATATATCTTTCATTATCTTACTATTTATTAATATTTATTTTTTATACTTTTTTTATAACGCCACTAACGCCACCGGCGTTTAGTTTCAAGCGGTTAACCATCCGTATAATGTTTTTTTTTTACTTGAATCTCATGTCATTTTTAATATTGACAATACTTTTTTTTAGATGATTACGTCAGAAATTTTGGAAGAATCTTTGAAATTAAATAATTTTTTGCTAAATTTTTTTTGTTGATAATTATCCATTGAATTTCATGACATTCAATAAAGTACAAAATATATTTCAAAAATGGTGACTTTGTTACCATAAATTAGAACTATTAGAACAATATATTAGAACTAAATTAGAACACTATATTAATTCTTCATTTCCCTCTAAATTTACAGTCCACTCTTTTTATTAATTTTCCACTTTCTTTATTTGTTTTTCCCCCCGCTTCATGCAATTTTAGCGTTCGTTGACTCTTCAAATGCCTTTCACCCTTTTTCTTCGTAATTTTAGTGTCTTTTTCAAGAGTGTTTATTTTGGACAAAGTGTAACGTCTAAACACGTTTATTTTTTCTTTCACGGAACTCACAATTTATTTGAGGAAGCGTTTGATTCTCGCCCAAAGTTGAGAACTACACTTTTAAATTTCGCGAGCTCTGAAAAAAAAAATTGTTATTTTGTTGAGACTAGTTCACTAACCGGTAAACGTTGCGACATCCGGAAGCGAAACTAAAACAAATTATGAGCGACTAGATCGAGTGGTGTACCCTTCCATTCCAAGCAAAAACTCCCGATGAAAGCTAATATTATTAAGAAATCTGTGTAGGGAATACCGAATAACTTTTTTTTTAAAAATAGAAAGTAAGACAATGTCAGTGGATGGAAAACAGGGCAATGTGATTTATAAACTTTTTTTCACTCATTCATCAAAAAAAAATGATTATTGTTAATAATCAGTGGATATAGTTTATTGTAACCGGATTAACGAATTAATAATCAGGCAAGAAGGCGCGACCAGGGTTCAAATCCCTGTGATGGCGGGTCGATGCGAAATACACACCCGGTTCACATCTACCACAATGCTGACGTAAAATATCCTCATTGGTAGACGGATCATTCGTTAGAGTCCCCTTGCCACCGGGCTAACCGTGGGTGGTTTTTGTGGTTTTCTTCTCCATGTAAAGCAAATGCGGGTTAGTCACATCAGAAAGTCGTCTTCCTCAAAAGCAAATTTCTCCCACTACTTGATCCAGGAGTTCCCTTGTCTTCTGGATAGAGTTCAAAATGACAAGGCTGCGGAGTTGAACATGAGTAGTCATAAGATCCAATAATTGTGTCAGCTTTTCAAGGATGGTTATTAAATAACTTGCCCAGTATTCTCTGAATTGATGTGTTTTTAGGTAAAGGACCATTACTCCGCATATTCTTTCCTTTTATTCTCAAACTGATGTTTTCTTTTAAGGCTAAGACTCATTGCCTAAGACATATTTGCCCAGTATTTATTGCACTGAAGTGTTTTAATGTTAAAGGTCATGTCCCGTTAAGCACTTTGCCCCGTACTCCGTAATACACTTATGTTTCTTAAGGTAAACGGGCTAATACACCTCACACTGACACATTTTCTAAACTTTTCGAAGTGTTAGAGCTAACTCCAAGTAACAAAAAATCATCCTCGTGAGGGAGGCAACTCGGAATTAAAGAATGCATCGCTTAATGTAGTCGCTCGTTTACAAATTCATAAAACCTACTAAAATGCTTGTTTTTTGAAGCAAAAATATTGAAAGTCTAGCTGCATACATGTTTAATTCCTTTATATAGTTTCTTTCACTGTTTTACTGCAATAGTGTCACTTACTGCTACAATTCGTGCGGTGATATCTCATTCAAGCGAATTCGTTAAACTGAAAATGCAAGGGCAATCCCAAAACATATGACCAATTTTAGAAACACTCAATTGCATTTATTTTATATAATATTTGCTTCCTTGTAAAGATTAAATCTTTGTCTATCTTTCAATATTAGTACCCAGATCAGTTGATGCTGTTTTCTGGAAGTTTTTTTAGTTTGTATACCCATGAGATTCCAGCTTCAAACTATGACCTCTTTAATCTCGTCCAAGATCTGAATCACCTTCCAGCGAAATATTCTTCCGAATTGGCAAACAGATGGCGGTCTCTGTGTAGTAAGCCCAGACTAAAGAATGTGAGTGCCTTCTAATGCTGCATATTTTTTGAATGACATTTTTACTCCGTTTTTAGTCGGAATGCACAAATTTAAAAGCGTTCTATATAAGAGGGGGTCGCGTAAAGGTTGCGACAAACTTCTAGAGAAGTTAGGCTACAACATCAATATTAAAATGGCATAGGAACTGATGCCCATGATACATCGTTATACGCAGCCAGGGGTGCTTCTCTATTACGACCTAAAGAGAAGCACACGGAGGAATAGTTCATAACAGGGAAGCGCCACTAGCGGCGCTGGATGAGATTTTCGGCGATGGGTTCCTATGTCATGTTAATACTGATCATGTGCCGTCACTCCCCTAGAAGTTTTCCGCAATATTTATACGACTCCCTGCTGTATGTAACGACTTTAAACTTGTGTATTTCTACAAAAAAATAGACTAAAATGCAATCTAAAAAATTTTTAAAGCAAACTTTAGCTTGGAGAAAAAAACGATTGCAGATTTGAAATCAGAGCAACGAAAGTTCCATTAAAAAATCTTTTGAAAACAAAACAAAAATGTTATCCTCAAGTTTGACACACAAGACAAGTAAAGCTGCTTTTTTTAGTCACAAAAATATACCATAAAAGACGAGAAAAGAATTATTTTTACCTGTTACGTTACCACATGTTGCCACACCCAACATAACAGCCACTCCCCAAGCCCACACGACAGCAAACACATCGTCCACTCGACGACCCTCTAGAATGGTTTGAGCAAAAGCCGCATCCCCAAAGATCTGAAAGATTAAACAAAAATGTTTTTATTTCTCCGATTTATCCGATAAATCGTACACATTCATTGAATTAGCAGGATCAATATTTTTGGAACAAACATCATAAAATCAAAACGTGTCTATTTGGGAAAAATTAAGTTTAAGACCTATTAAGGCTGTTTTTATATATTTTTATTTTATAACCACCGTTGAATAGCGGGCTCGAATTTGGTGTTTACGACTATTAATGTTCAACTCCATTGCCTTGTCATTTTGAATCTAATTAAAAGGCAAGTGAACTCCTGGGTCAAGAATTGAGAGAAATTCGTCTTCGTGGAAAACTTTTTGAAGTGACTAACCAGCATTTGCGTTACGTGGAGAGGAAGACCACGAAACCCTTACACGGTTATCCTGATGGAACTCTAACGCATGATCCATTTACCACTGAGGATATTTTACGTCAGCACTGTAAGCGTGAGCCGGGTGCGGGTGAGGCTGACGCTCTACCACCCCGGCACCATTACGGCTGTTTGTTACAGGTTTTTTCAAGTAGGAAAATCTATAGCCACAGTATTGTATAAAACAAAGTAGGAGGTCTGAATCCCCTGTTTGTTACCTCACACCACCCCCCGATGATTGTTTTGCAATAATTGTTGTTTCTTGGCATAAAATAGTTTTTTTCAAACAAGATTGAAATTATTCACATAAAATATATACTAAAAAGAATCCTATTTGCTTATGCTTGTGCCCCCCCCCCACTGTCCAAACACGTGATTTCATTAACATCTAACGTAAAGCATTAAACTGAATGTACAGAATTTTGCTAAATAATCATTCCTTCAAAAATTACATTTAAAAACAAAGGTATATTGTTATAATAAATTTGACAAATTCACAAACAACCGTTGTTTAATATTTTCGCCTACCCAACAAGTTGATATATTAAATGCAATTTATACAGGCATCGCATTGTGCATGAAGCTAATCGTAATCATTTAACGAATCTCTCTTATAATAGTATATTAATGTAATTTGCATCAAAAAATGATACTTGTAAAACGGAAAATAAGTTAAGACACCAAATTAAACAAGTTTATCTTAAAATGTAGCGTAAAAAGATAAACTCATTAGATAACGTTAATCATTAGATTTTTAGCCGCAGTAGTTAAAACAGAAAGTAAATAATTAATGATGTTTTTGAACTATTATTTTAATAAAAGAATGAATTAATATTAGAACAGATAAGATTTGAAATACGTAAAAAAATTTAATAATTTGCCAAGATTTTCCCACTTTTTAAAAAATTATATCAATGAAGCATAAAGAATGGCGAAATCAATGAAAGATGAAGAACGTAGGATGAAAATGGAAGAATCNTTATAAAAAATTTGACAAATTCACAAACAACCGTTGTTTAATATTTTCGTCTACCCTACAAGTTGATATATTAAATGCAATTTATACAGACATCGCATTGTGCATGAAGCTAATCTTAATCACTTAACGAATCTCTCTTATAATAGTATATTAATGCAATTTGCATCAAAAAATGATACAAATTGTGAAACGGAAAATAAGTTAAGACACCAAATTAAACAAGTTTTTCTTAAAATGTAGCGTAAAAAGATAAAATCATTAGATTACGTTAACCATTAGATTTTTAGTCGCAGTAGTTAAAACAGAAAGTAAATAAATAATGATGTTTTTGCACCATTATTTTAATAAAAGAATGAATTAATATTAGAACAGATAAGATTTGAAATACGTAAAAAAAAATTAATAATTTGCCGAGATTTTCCCACTTTTTAAAAAATTATATCAATGAAGCATAAAGAATGACGAGATCAATGAAAAATGAAGACCGTAGGATGAAAATGGAAGAAAAATAATCTAACACTTATGAATAATTGTTACAAAATCACAATAAGTGTAAAAGTAACACTTTATTGGTCTGAAGGTGTTATTTTATGTAAATGAGTTTTCGAATAACAGCCTCACCATTTTGAAACGTTGTAGAACAATTATTTTATACCGAAATTTAAATAGAGTTAGGTTAAATTTATTATTCTTCCTCTTACACTAATTGGATGAGAATTTCCCGTAACAGACCATATCATATTTGATGTCTGCTTCAAACAATAAGTTTCACGACATAAAATTCTGCCTTCATTTAAATTCATAGAAAATAATTGTTTGACTCATTCCTTTCACGGAGAAGTGAGCAAGAATTATAGTTCCGCCGAAAATATTTTGTAGATAAATTTTAAAAAAATAATTAGATTTAATATTAAATTCAATGCTGTCAATTTATGTAATTATATTACACCACCGTTATATTTATACATATATTTTGAAGGTTAAAACAAATAACGGTTCGACATTATGGGACAAAAGGTCAAAAGATAAATGAGCACATTAAGAGAAAATAATAGTTAATTAAATAATTCGTAAAAATAATATATTGGTTAAATTAATTGATTTGAATAAGATAAAACAAGAACTTTAAAAACTAATTTTTTCAAATGGATTAAAAGGGAGAAAATAATTTAATTTTTGTCTTACCAAAAACAAAAAACGTAAGGCTCATCACATTTAGAAGACTAAGCGGTGATAGAAAAAATTTTTAAAAATAAATAGCTGCCAACTTAAGATTTTTTATGAAAGATATTTTTTAACTTTTATTATTTTTTTCTGCTTTTAAATAACCACTATGAAATACCTTTAAGGAAAATAATGTCGTCTGCTGGTAGTTATGCAAATTTAACGCTCCTTATTCTTTTCGTCTTAAGTTTAACAAATAAAATTAGTTCCGATTCTTTAATCCACTTGAAAAATATAGGTCTTAAAATTTTTGTTTCGTTTTATAATTTTCTTGTGTTTAGTTTGGTGTTTGCAAGTTTCTTTTATATCGCAATATCGTAGAAATTTTGATTGGTGATAAAATTTGGTGACATTATTTAGAAAACAACAGAAAATTGTATTGACATTAAGATCAAGGCACCAGTTTAAATTTGAATTTTCTAACCAATCTAGAAAAAAATTTAATTTCGATTGACTATAAATTTTATTCGGCGATAAAATGGCGATATAAGTTCGCTTTTTAGCAATCAGGAAATGTTTAATTTTTTATTGTCATCCAAAATAGAACTCCCTTAATGTAAGCATTCTAACTAGTCGAAAAGTGGTCAAACATTCGACTGACGATTAAGTCCGATTTGCAGTAATGTAGCGAAACTTTCAATGAAATCGTAGTTCCAGTTGAGCTTTTAATATTTCAGCTTGTCTAAATTCAATTGACAATAATTTTTTCCCGATAAATTCTGTTTCCATCGATGAGAAAATGCTTGAAATTTATTTTATCAGGGCATGCGGCTTCAGTAGAGATTCGAGTGCTAGTCAGAAAGTGGTCACAATTTCAATTGCAATATTTCATCTTCACAGACACGAAAACGAATTAATAAATATGTAGCAAATAAAAAATATTAGTAAAACACAAAGTTATAAAAAAATATTTATACATAAAACAGTTAAGTGAAATAAATCATTACTGATAAGTATATAATCTTTTAGTCCTTTACGTACTTAACAAAAAATATATTTCAAACTGTTCGATATCTTATGTATATTTCAATAAATTTCATGAAAAGTACACTTATGACCAATTAGAATTAGCATATTTTGAGAAAAACGCGCTTAAAGTTTAAATGAAGCATGTTATGCATTACTGGGCTTCGTTTCTTTTAAATAATGCAATAATGAATTGAACACAAAATGTTCCTTTTTTTTTTCTATAATACAAAACAAATTTGCTGGATCATTAAATGTTAAATTGAATCATGCAGCAAATAACGATTTTAGGTAATTGATTACTTATAATCATTTATGCTTCCGCTTAAAAGGATTGAAAGAAAGCAGCTTGTCATGCAAGAAAGAAACCAGATAAAATGAAGGATAAAACCCTGGGTTACCTTACTAAAATAATACAAATATTGAAATATACAAACATAATTTTAAAATTTAATCTGCAATTATTTTTTTGCATTAAATTCAGCAGCTCAAATATATCTCTTCTGTAAAGCTGGCGCAAATCTTCTATTTTAAAATAGAGAAACGCATAAAACACCGATATTTATTTTTAAACCGGTGATCATTTTTAAGCTTTTGAGAACACCAAGCTGCTTGGAAATTGGGGGTGGGCCTAAAGTTTAAGCGATAGCTGAAAAGAATTCCATTTCACGTCACTTTCACTTCCTTGTTCACTTTTTTGCGTAATTTTTTTATTTTTTACTGGTGACAGTCACTTGCATACAAGGGTGAAGAAACTTGTTGATTATGGAGACATAGTTTTTCTATTCTTTAAGACACTTATATTTAGCTTACCGCTCCCTCAGTATAAAAAAAACTCGGCCAAAAGAGATAAAAGAAGACGTGAAACTCTATAAATCTGGGTATTCTTTGAATAGAAACTACAAGTCGTTTTCGTTTTAAATGTTATGTCAAAATTATGTGGATGAAGCGTGGTTCTTTTTGACATACTTCGGTGAAAGTTAATTAAGGAATAACTAATTTAGGAAAGAAGAGACACTGAATTAAAACAATAAATCTGTGCTTTGCAACCGAAGTGATCATAATTTTTAACCAAATTAATCATAGTTGTTTAAATAGTAAGTTGAAATAGCCGATTTACACAGCATCAAAAAACGATACAAAAAAAAAAGAGACTCAGCATCAAAAAACGAATGAATCTGTGATTTTCAACCGAATTAACCAAATCCATACTTTTAAATCGAAGTTCGTAAGTTGTTCGAATAGTAAAATGAAATAGCTACTCTTGTAAATCGGTTTACATGACTTGTTTGTTAAGTGGGGAAAAAATAATGTACAATGAGCTAAAAAAAATAATAATAAAATAATGAACTACCCTAAATTACTTTCGACTTAATGATCGGATCTTCACGTTCTAAGACTCAATCTTAATGGTTTGAGGGGTTGACATCAAATATGCTAATTAATTGGTGCAGATG